GGAGAAGCAGTCACAGGTCGAGAAGCACTCAGGGAAATGAACTGGAAAGGAGCACTGCTTGAAGACTCGTGAATTCAAAGATTTGGTGATTGGAGGCACAAGCGCAAGAACATTCACATAACAACGTGGATTAGATTTCACCGGATGAACACACTACACTAAAAGTCAGATTGGCTTCATGCCAATCTGAAGAAAATGGAGATGCAGCCTACTGGACACAAGATCAGATAGAGAAGGGGAGCAGGTGTATGTTTACACCAGTCACTTTCTAGTGCGAGGAGCCTACCTTCAAAATCAAGTTAAAAGCCCTCAAAGGAGTTGGTGATTGACAACAGTTGAAGTTCAACACATAGGACAGAAACTGAAGGGTGGAACTACAAAGAACATCTTCACGTCAGTCAGTCATCAGAAAAATGGGAGATATTGAGCGACATCCTTGAGGAAACTTGCGTAGAAGAACGCTGGAAATCTTTGAAAGCATCGTGGAAGGAAACTCGTACAACCCTGTTAAGAAAGAAGAAGATGCAAGGCGAGAAAAGGAATGGATCTCAGTGAACACATGGAAGCCAATGGAAGGGGGAGAGGAAGATGATGAAGCAGTAGATAAACCAGTGCAAGCGTGGACAACGAAAAGAGGAACTGAACACAACATACAAAACACTACAATGCGCAAAGAAGTGAAGAGGAGTGCGTGCAAAGACAAAAGGCACATCTACGACTCACTGGCAAGTGAAGCAGAAAAGACTGCTGAAAAGAGAGACCTGACAACATTGTATCAAATAACCAGGCTACCATATGGGAGAGGAGAGATCAACAGAGACGAAACCAACGAAAGTCAGTGAAGGAAACCTTGCTACCAAAGAGAAGAAACAAAAGAAACGATGAGTTGACCACTTCGAGAAACTCTTGAATCGACCACCACCGCCACCCGCAACTCTTCCGGAAATACCGCCGCCATCACAGACACAGAATTACCAATGAACACAAGCAGTCCGATAAACGCCGAAGTCCTGAAGGCCATAAAGCTGCTGAAATCAGGGAAAGCAGCAGGACCAAATGGAATTCCACCAAAAGCACTGAGAACAGACGCAGAGACATCAGAGGTGGACATGCCCACACCACTACTGCAAGAGGTTTGGAGGGAAGGAAAGGTACCTGTAGATTGGAAGGAGGGCTACCTTGTCGGACTCCTAAAGAAGGGCGAAGTGAGCCAAATCTTTACAATAACTGGAGAGAAATCATTATGCTGTCCACCCCAAATCATCCAGGAGAGACTAAGAGATGCGCCGGATTCAAAATTACGACTGGAACAAGCTGGCTGGCTTCACGAAAAACAAATCGTGTGTGGATCAAATTGCAACACCACACTACGCATCATCATAGAACAGGGCACAGTATGGCAGCTAGCCCAACTCAGCCTAAGCTCCATCCACTCTGAAAAGACCTTCGACAGCGTCGACCGAGAAGTAATTTAGCAGGCAGCTGGTTCAACACTACGGTTTTAGTGTCGCAAAACTTTATCAACCTCATTCAACAGCAGCTATATGCTACATGATGCTACATGTAGAGTGATTCACAACGAAAAGCTCAGTGATCCTTTTGAAGTGAGTACAGGAGTAAGACAGGGTTGCCGCCTACTACTACTGACTATCTTCCTAATTGTGGTTGACCGGACTGGCTCATGCAACAAACTGTGAGGAGCGATAAGTTGGGCATATGCTGTTCGACCGATGAAAAGACCGTAGAGGATTTGGATTTCGCCGATAATGATTTGTGTCCAATGTCACGCAAACTCAAAGATCTACACGCGAAAACTAACAAGTTGACAGAAAGGGCGAGGCAGTGAAGGTGGGACCTCCTTCATGTGAACGTAGACAAGACAGAGAAGAAGGCACCCAACCAATGACAACCACGGGCGTAGAAGCAATCATCAATCACCATCAAGAGGAGACATCTAAAGGAAGATGTCTCGTTCACCTACGTGGGCAGCATCGTTTCACCTGCAGACAGCACAGATGGGGCCGTCAAGACAAGGAACGGAAAGACTACAAGACGGGTCTTGATTAATCTGAAGTCAGTGTGGTGATCTACTGCACTCCGAATAAAGCGTGAACAAGATTCGGATTTTCAACACAAATGTCAGTCAAGTCAGTCGGTCCTTCTGCGTGGTGTTTCAGAGACACTTGACGAGTGACGAAGAGCATTTCCAACAAACTACAGACATTAGTCGACAGCTGCTGCCTACGCTCGTTCGATGATGAAAACCAGATCAGATAGCCAGGAAGAATGAGCAACATGGAACTCTGGTCTGTCAACGAAAAAACCAAGAACCAATCACCTAGCAAATACGCAGGAGGAGAAAGTGGAGATGGATTGGGCGAACGCTTAGAAGACCATTCGGTGACACTACGCGCCAGACCAGGCCCTCCAGTGCGGCCCAAATGGAAAGCGATGACGCGGGTATCCGAAGATGAGATGGTCGATATCTCGCGAGGAATAAATGAAAGCTTGTGTTCAGCCATGGAGCCAGGCCCGAAGGAGCACAGGGAGGAGGACGAAATGGAGACTAGCTGCTGAATCCGTAAGTTCCACTGGGAACCCAAAGGACAAATACTAAATAATAATAATCGCTCCTCTACAACAAGAAATAAAACAAAGCAGCCGACAGAGAAAAGTAGCAGTCTGTATTTCTGCGCCTTTGCCTAAAGGTGGTTCCCTGTTTGCTTTTGAAGTGCTGTGATGAATTAGCTCATATCACTTGTGCAGGAAGAGTATCCCACGACTTGAGGTCCCTTAGGAAGCAAAAGTTATGCCCAATATCCTTCATGACAATGAAGTTTTTGCTTTTGGGCCTTTCCCCCAAAACTAGTGTTGGAACTGAAACTAGTGATGAAGTTGCTAGCTGAAATCTGCTTCTGATTTCCACATATTTTGTTCCAACTTTTCTTCTTCGACTTTAGTCTGGTGGCCGAACGCAACACGATGGGTAACTGGCATCATCCATCCTGCATCACATTTGGTGTCAATATGAGACTGTCTAAGGCAAACATATAGCAAGCGTATTCCCCAACCTTTCTCATAGTTCCCGGAGCATATGGTTCTTCTCCTATCCGATACGCCTGATGACGCATGGGTTGCTATTGAAAACTTTCAAATTACAAACGGCGAGGCAGTGATCCAAAACAACACATATTAAATTGCATTTTGTATAAGAAAAAATTCGACATTTCTACGTCAACCATGGGTGACTGCGAATACGCTTGATCTTCAGCTACACATTATCAGTTCTAAATAGCACACCTCATTGAGACGTTCCTTGAAACAACCTGTGGTGGAGAGCCTAGACAAATATGTTATCTACACCAACGGCGGACTTCTATCAAAAATGTTTGTCTAACAGCAGGGACGAGGCACTAAGGACTGTTGGAAATTCTGCAGTTTCGGGTGCCAATGCGAGCCTTCATCGTGACATTGGGGATTGTGAGCACGACATGGAAGAAACCTGCTAGCCACATCGGCCCTTAAATTCAGGTTTCGCGGATATGCCACGGCACTGCAATTGGAACTCACACCAGCTCACGCCGGCCAACATGATACTGGGTTGTGTATAGCCTACGAAAACCAAAATGGACCTGTTGCATAAATATTCGCTGCTTCATCATAGTACACAACAGTGTTGCACCATCTGCCACAAACATTCAGTGCACAGTGCTTAAAAGCAACCAGGGGATATCAGGATGTTTCCATCTTGTGTAAAACTTATCGCACCTACCAGTACGAGTTCCAGCAGTGGCTTCTTGAGCGGCTTACTTGATGCTTACTTCCACCTCCAATTTACACCTTGTTCGCGTGAGGGTTCACTCTATGCCGCCGGTAGACACCGATCCTACATTCTAAACTCGTCAGCAGTGGCTTTGCCCCTGTGCCCTCAGACACAGTTAATTTAGACTGTGATGAAACTTCTAATGACACTATGGCAGGTTGAGATTGTACATCTCCAATACACAGTGATCTATGCATAAAAGTTGGATATAAAATGACAAATTGGTAGCTCATGATGAGGATTACGAAAAGTTATTTGATATTATCAGCAGCTCCGTCGCCCTCCCAAACAAACAAAGGAAACCCCTCAAGTAGACAACTGCTACATTTAAAGCTATTAACAGGTGAACTATAAGAACTTTTGCCACCACCGGTGGACGATAACTGAACAAAAGCAACCGAGCCTCAAGACCAGGAAGTGGAGTCCATAAACCTCAGATTTACTCTACTCGCACTACGAATGTTGATTTGATCCTTTGTCCTGTTGTGGAACTAAATTTGAGAGCATGAGAAACAGGAGTTTTCTACCTCTATATGCCTTGGCAGTTCAAATGAGACTGTCTTGCATTCCCTCTTTTCTTTCTTTGCCACCATTCTACTATTCTTATTCAAGTACCTGCACAGACAGGAGTCGTGACAGTCCCCTAACCTTCCCAGCAGCCCGTAGCTCGTCAATCGCTCTACAAACTGCAACTTACCAACCCACACCCACCTCACCGAAGCTGAAAGTAAGAAAGCAGAGGACATTTCCTTGTCCACTGCAGGAATAGACCAAAAAACTCGAACCAAGCCCTAAGAACTAAGCGCAAGAGATCAAAATTATCAGATTTCTATGCCCGAAATACCAATATTGGGTTGGATATTGCATCTGAAACCATCCCATGGTTAAGAGGCTGAAGACTGAAGCAAATTACTTGTTCTAACTGGGGCGCGAGATTGGTAGTTCATTAGTCCGAAGCAATTACAGTTCCTAGAAAGCACCTCGAGTCGGTATGAATATGACTGAGGTGCCTTTGACTTTCAGCTTTAAATGGGTCAACTCATTATTAATTGTCGTATGGCGCTGAGTTAGGTTGTCGTGAGACGTCTTGTGTTTATGCTGATGTATAATATGTGATGTTTCTGAACACGTTAACTTAGCAGTCATTTTGTTACCTGGATTCTTGGTTTGGGTGAAAATGCATCTCACCGAAGAGGATGAAAACAATATTCAGACGATAAACGAATTCAAAGTGACCTGGTTCACCTTATTATCTCGGGTGGATGCTGGTAAATTGCGCTAATACAATAATATTCGATCAACTTAGCACCGACAGTAGACGAAATTGTCTTGACATCACTAAATCATGTTGCAAATCTGATCATGTGCAGGAAGGGTGGGAATTCATCCAAAGATCTTGTTTTTGAAATGGCCCTTAGCCTATGTGTGTTTGAAACCCTCTTCCAGTGGAACTTTGTGTTCACTGGGGCCGATCTAGAGGCATACAAAGTGAGAGAACTCCAGTTTTATGACTCACTGATAGGAAATAATGGAGAGCTATATTTATCTCATGAAGGTGTAAGTTCTATAGAAGCTTTGTTCACGTTTAGTAAGGTGTTCATCTCCCATGTATTGTCTAATTTCGTTGCTTTGTTGATCGCACTCCATTGTTTGGTATTCGTAGTGAACTTTGATTTCAGAATGCGAACGCCTAATGTTCTTGTCTATATTTTGTTTATCGTCTCATCGATATTTTGCGTAATACTGAATAGTTCGTTGCTGTTACTGATTAAGTTCGTAGCTGGTGTGTTTTAGAACTGGTTTTGCACACTTCTATTTCTTTCTGGATTCGCGGCAACATCTGTAATATTGACTATGTGAACACATATATATTCCACATGGAAGAAATCTACCACTGGTCACAAATCCCACTATTTGTCCTGATATTCAATCCCTTCATTAGCGTGAACGTATGTATTGAGAGGTGTTGCTGTGTGCAGTTGTGCACATATAACTGAATTATCATAACAAGCTATAGCCATGAACGTTTATACGAACGTGGTCTTGCATATAACATTTTCTAGATTCATTTCTTGTATCTGTTACATTTTGAATTGTATCACCGTGGTGGTGTTTGCAAGCTAACATTACTCTCACTCAACAACAGATTAGCCTTTGTAAACTGGTGGTCATTTAGTGCTGAAGTTGGATCTCTTCTGATCACGAAACGAGTGTGAAATATGTTTGAAATTATCGGTGTTTTGGGTGTTCAGATAAAAGTACATAGACCATCGAACCAAAGTGCACTACCTTCTTCGACTCGCACCTAGTATGTACGAGTAACAGAGAAGTCTATATCAAGCGTTCCGAGTAAGATCCTCTCAATTCAAGGCATCTGGATGGACTAAATTTATGACATCTGACAAGGCCACCACTCGATATGCTCTAACCGCCAAATCTTTTGTAAATTTTACTTCCATCCACCAGTTGTTAAGCAAATCACTCACTCTATCCAAAGGGAGTATGCTAGTACGATAAGTAAAACGGTGCGAGAATAGTTGGGAGAAATTTAAGTTAGTTTACCTAATCGAATGAAACGTGTAGTACCTTCTATTGCTTCATTTCAAGAGTGAAAATATAACAGATTGCTTGACCAATGGTTAGTGCTATTTGTAGTGAACTTGTTTGGCATGAGGTAATCAAAATGGGATCGGAGATAACACTTTGGCTGTAAGACGCGTTACAAATAAAATTTGGCTGCATTTGTTTGAACTGGAAAAATATCTCAGACTAAAGAAACAACTGTGGGGATATGAATTTAGTAGTGTTCGTAATTTCTTGAATTGCATTTTATTGGTTGTATTATAAGATATCAACCAGGTTTATAGTGAAATGCTTTATACACTATCAATTCCCAGTTAATGTAGGAAACAAAAGGTTTTAAAGGGGACCTTTATCCCCAATCATATGGCTATGGACTCATCGAAGGTGTCCACCTCAAACGATGCTCACGACTATAATGACGTATTCATTTCTCAGTGGACTAACGTGGTTGAAAATGAATTATTATTTTGTGAATTTACTCAATAGTTTCCAAAAAGATTATGTTCTCTGTCGGATGTGTTGAGTTATCTTTCTCGTGCATCATTTTGTTCTGCAGTCTTGAAATATGTGCAACAGTTTATAGGTGTTGTCGACGGGACAACTCTAATCCCCAAGGAGCAACATTTTGTTGAACCACATGTTTTTGGGAGGAGCGAATGATGAGTATAGGACTTATTGATGAAGCTCTCCAAACTATTGGTTTCTACGCAGTACTTTTTGGAATACGGACTTATCTCACAGACAACATTGTTAACTGGTATTAGTTAGTGTTGTCAATCAGGTGATCTTACGGCTTTGATAGAGCACGTATTGTCCTGTAATTTTGGCTCAACAGGTTCATCCGCTTTGATGTTTAACATATTCCGTGGATTAATGGTAGAGAACAGTCCAAGAAGGAAATCAGCATGATTTATGAAGTTTTCAGAACTGTTGTGATGAAACTTATATGTAGCTACAGGGACGAACGTTGAGTTCTCCAGATTCTTTTGTTTAGAAAATGTTTGGTTTCCCCTTATCAGATGCAGCGCATGCAGTTGTGAATGAATGAACTTCTGTTTGTCTGTGGCGATGTATATTTAGGCATTTGTTTATCAGATATTCATTAGAACTGCTTCCAATGCAAAGTCATTTTGCCATCTTTAATTATCATTAATCATCTTTTCCGTGAATTAGACTTGCTTTATTTGATTAGTTTTTTTTAGCATAACAGTATTTTAATACGTATCGTATAAAAGATTCAGTATTATTGTCGATACATTTTCATTGAGTTTTTCGTGATAACTTAGTAGGACTACCGTCTGAGCAGTTTTAAGGTTCGACGAAAAGTGCTGGGGCAAGAGAGGCAAGTCGATTGATGTGGTTATGTATCTTAGTTGACTGAGATGACTTGAACATGTACTGCACATACCGATCCACTACCCACCCTAACGTGCAGTGCTCTAGAAGGTTGGATTAGGTTGGACGAAGGCTCTGGGTGGCTGGACCAAGACATAGCATCAGTTGATGAAGTGTTTGACTCTTGGTTTGAGGCGTGTTGAAGGTGCAGACTACATGACTGGGGTCTACGAGATTATAGAAATCAGTGGTTGAGGTTTCTTGGTGATGTGATTAAAAGTCAGTCACAGTAGTGATGTATTTACTCTTTGAGGTCTTCTAAAGCTTGGATATTTGCACCAAGCTTTGTATTCAGATTGTTTATTCTCTCTCAACTTAGTCTACTTTGATATCAGTCTTTTCATATCCACTTGTTCCTTTCTTACTACTGTGAAGTGTGTCAACTCGGTCTTTTGTGGGTATATATATATGATTTTGTGCCTGTCATCTTCGATTGACAACGAAGTCGATGTGTTTTGTACTACTCTAGAAAATTTGCAGCTTTGTTTTTCTCTGATTTTCTTATGATCAATTGTGATGGATGTGGTTGTGCTCTTCGACCTTTTCATTTCTCATTAGAGCTCTCTAAGTGAATCCTAAATATCATATCTTCATATACTCTATTTTTCGACACTACCTCTAATTTTGCATTTTATTTTTCTGAAATCATATATGCCAACTAATCCACTTCAAGGTATCGGTTAAGATTGCAAATCGTTACGGCAATAGTAAGTCATATTATTAACTAAAACACTTATTTTTTGACGTTCATTGATGTTAGGAAGGTTGATTGAAGTCCAGTGAGGCAGAATACAGGTGAATGACACAAAGTAGCACAGTTCTGTGTATTAAAATGTGATTGTTCGTCTTAACAGTCAGGTTTGATGACTTTGTTCAACTTCGCATTCCATTGGTGAGACCATAAACTGCAGTTTATATGGAAAGATGTACATGACTAGTATGTTATGCTTCAATTCTGAAATGTTTGTCAGAAAAAAGTATTCCGCTTTACAGTAGTAGGGATTCGTATTTGCTTTACCACGGTAAGGACAAATATCCATTATTTGGAAGGATGTACATATAATATTAGTTGGGATTGTTGTCCGATTACCTGTGGGGGCCGGGGTAATTTTAGATTGGTACTATCAAAAACCTTGAAACGATTGAGACTGATAACCGTTGCCGCCTGTGTAAATAAAATTGTCTCCTTCTGAGACAAGCTGATTTTATCACCATCATAATCATCAGCCTTTGGTTTACTAAGGAATGAACCGGAATCTTATCACCCGCATCGTCATAATATTTAGAACAGCAAGATACAAGGAAGTTAAAGGCTAGATGAGGAAAGAATTACGGTTATGTGACTCCATGAAACAAAGTGAAGAGGCAGGTATAGTAAACAAAATAATGCAGCATTCCGATCATAATAGAAATAAAGTGTGATTGCTTCTGAACCAGCATAACCGATTCCCATCCATGTCACCTAGATCTTGTGGTTAAATATTTTCTTAGTCTCCTAGCCGTCAGCGAGGAGTCGTGCATAGTTCAGACTAGCAGTTGATTACTTCATGAATTGGTATCACGACTTATTATGGTCATCCATAACCTTTTTTCCATTCGTAGTTTTTTTGGATCACTGGGTACTTAATTGTTTCCACCATCATGTAAAATGTAAACAGATTTTTGAATTAACTGAAAGAGAAAGTTCTTTGTTTATGTGAAAACTTCAAATATCAGTTCTTATTTTGAAGTGTTGAGTCAAGAACTATTGAATACATTTCAGTCTATAAGGAGTTTTGATGAATTACCAGTAAATTTCCATGTATCACCTGTAGAAGCAAATAATACTACGGAAGAAATTCCATCTTTAAGGCTTTCTCCGTTAACCTCTTAGTGATCTCAAGTGGTAGGATACATAAAGTTGAACTCTTCCATTATATTCTTCCTATCACTTACTATTTTGGTTTCGGTCGATTATTATTATTATTATTATTATTATTATTATTATTATTATTTGTCCTTTGGGTTCCTAATGGGGACATACGGCTTCAGTAGCACGTCTCCATTGCACTCTGTTCTCTGCACTCTTTTGCACCTGGCTCCACGACTCCCCAGAAGCTTTCATTTCTTCCTCACACGATCTCCTCCATGTCACTCTCGGACGCCCAACTCATCCTTTCCCATTTAGGTTCCACTCGAGAACCTGACATGATGCGTGATGTCCCCAGTCGGCCTTCTCAGTGTATGTCCAATCCATCTCCACTCTCTTCTGCATATTCGTTGGGCGATAGGTTCTTGGTTGGTTCGTTACCATAGTTCCTTGTTGCTCATTCTTTCTGACCATCTGATCTGATCTTCAGTGTCGAGTGAGCGTAGATGACAGCTGTTGATGAATGTCTGTAGTTTGCTGGATATGTTTTTCGTAACGCGCCAGGCGTCTCTGAAGCATCACATAGAAGCAGTGAATTGACTGACAATCGTGTTGAAAATCCGGATCTTGTTCATGCTTTGTGCTGAGTGCAGTAGATCTCCACACTGGTTTCAGGTTAATGAAGACCCGTCTTGTAGTCTTTCCGATCCTGGCTTTTACATTCTCATCT